CTGCACCAGTGATGATCTGTTACGACATCGTCATTACTAATGACAACTTTCATGGCTTCAATCGGGACTAGCTCGTGTTGTTCCGAATACGGAAAGATGCGATTAGTCACGAAAGGCATGTCTTCATCAATTCGCGACTCGCATATAAGGAAATGTTTCCTTTAAATAAACGGTGGTGAATATTTTGAAATAAGTTACTTCTTACGGCTGCGTTTAAAGTTGATACTGCAAATACCAGATTGCAATTTTGACCAAGACCAGTTTCGCGGTTGTTGATCAAAGGGACACAACTCGTGTGTAAACATTTAGAGACGCGGTCGTAATTGAACGAAGCTATTCCCATCACTTTGATCCACCTGCCCCACCTGCAAACTCTATTGGTGGTTCATCCTGGGTACATGTCCTTACATACTGTGGCGAGTGGAGTCTTGAGTCAATCATACGGGTGTTTGGACCACAGACGGAGAGTCATTAGTGCGCATGTGTGTGTTGGGTGGCGGTGGTGGTGTAGCCTAGTAGATAAAGGGTTCGCCCGTCACGCCGAGGACCGGGTTCGATTGCCGACATGGGTATAAAGGGTGAAGGTGAATGGGGTGTTGTTGTGTGGGTCAAACTTTAAAGGAATCCTCCTGCTATATATGTCAACACTGTACCTCCAACAAATAAATCACATCTGACATATTCTGTTATTACACAGTTGATTTATATACAACATATTACAGACAGATGGTTTATATACAACATATTACATACACAGATGATTTATATACAACATATTACACGCACAGATGATTTATATACAAATTACACATGATTTATATACAACATATACACAGATGGCTTACATACAACATATTACACACACGGATGATTACTATACAACATATTACACACACAGAGGGTTTATATACAACATATTACACACAGAGATGTTTTATATACAACATGTAACACAGAGAGATGGTTTATATACAACATATTACACACAGAGAGGGTTTATATACAACATATTACACAGAGATGGTTTATATACAACATATTACACACACAGATGGTTTATATACAACATATTACACACACAGATGGTTTATATACAACATATTACACTCAGAGATGGTTTATATACAACATGTTACACAGAGAGATGGTTTATATACAACATGTAACACAGAGAGAGTTCAATACTCTGGTGACGTCAACACAGCAGGTTGAGGTAGTCGCGCAGATGCTCCGGCAGAATGAGTCCCCGGAGTCCCCGAGGAAGCTGACCCCTAACTAGCAGCCCCTCCCTGACCACACACCGGGCCAGGTGCTTCAGCGAGCAGGGTCGGGTGTAGAACGGGGGGATGTAGTCGGTGACCTCGCTACTCACGTAGTACACGTGTCTGCCCGGCTTTTCCAGGATTGTCTCCCCTTGGAACCGTAACGTGAGGCGTGGCACCGACCGTAGACAATAAATGAAGCACTCCACAAGGGTGTCGATGCTGCCGAGGCGGATGCTGCCGTTGCTGGAGGCGTTGAGTATGGGGAAAAGGTGGAAGCTGCTGAACATCCGGAGGATGTACTCGAGCGGGTGTCCCTCCGCGGCCGCCCCGTGTTGCAGGAGAAGGAGCACAGCTTTCGGCTTCATGTTCACGATGGCGAGAAGCAGTGGCGAGGCGCGGAGGTGTGAGCGGTTCACATCCACGTCAGGGGGTAGAGTCGGGTAGGCTATGGGTAGATCTAAATATCGACATGATTCTCCATGAAGCATTTCCCGCCACACAACGCCATGAGGGCCCTCGAAGACGTTGTTCATGAGGCTTGGGTCGCTGAATTCTATCGCAAAGCCTGCGCATACTTCCAAAAGGTATTCCGTCTTTTCTGGAATTCCGTTCTGTGTTTCACTGAAATCGAATAAGTCTCTCAAAAATATTCCAAAATCGACCCCTCGACTGTAAAACAGGAGTTGCTTTAGAAGTGTCCTGGGAAGGGCGTTGGACACATCAGGCTTCCGGCTGCAGCAACACAGCCCCAGGCCAAGGTGAAGGACGAGCCAACAGAAGTATCGCTTCCTGTCGTCGCTGTGTTTACACTTCACATACTGGAGAATGTCCTCCACAACCTTCGACAGAGTGATGTCCCCTTTCTCGATACGGACATATAATGTATTTCCAATCAGCTCACATTGTTTCTCAGGTGACGGGACTTTGGTTTGGAGACTTCTTCGTACAGTTTCGAAACTGTTGTGTCTCAATGTCCAGTAGTTCGTGAGACGTTCCATGTCGCCTTCTCAAACAACGTGGCAACAATAGCGTGACGTCATGATTGCTGTGACGTCATCATTATTGTCACAGCGCAGCATAAACTGATGACAAAAGTACCTGACAGAGACGGAGTATTTTCTCTCTTGACCCCGAGCTTCCGTTAAGGAGGATTATGCTGATGGGGGTAAAATAGTTGAGGTTACTATTTTTCAATTATCCCAGGCTAGATAATATGTTTTGTTGGGGTTTGAGTCAGATACTTTTTTCAACCCTGTACGGGACAAGCCGAATAGCGACTCGTGCCCCTCTCATGGCCATTTTTGCGACCGGGTTCCGTCTTAGCGCAAACGGGCATACCTAAAACAATTATTGTCAACTCTTTGCGTAATGGTTCACATATAATTCTCCATATATTATATTTCAGATGCAAGTTAAAGCACATCGGGACATGCGGAATTATACAGTATGATTGAACACATTTAACTGTGTCTTGGGTATATTTTTAGATGCAAGACATATATAAAATCAAAAATTATTTCTGAGGGATTCTTTGACGAAGAACTTGAAATCATACGCTCATTCTGATTGGTTTGTCGTATTTTCGCACATTACATTCATTCTTCCCCGCCCTTAAGGCGGGGAAGTATACGGGAGACGTTAATTTTGTAGCATGTAAGTCGACATGTTGGTTTCTTTGAAATTTCAAGCCACACAGTTACCGAAACGAAACATACAAATCATGTGAAATGTGCGTGAAATGTTGATGTTTATCTTTTCCAGCAATAAGAGATACTTCAAAATCGTCTTGCTTTTCTGAGACTTTGACACTTTTCGTAATGCTGATAACCCATGAAATTTGTCCATTTTGTTTTTAAAAGAGCTAAAAATGATCCCATTTCGCTAAAGTTAACCGGTCTATATTTTGTAAGAATAAACTATTGCGCATTGAGCGATTATCTCCTTTAGCTATAGGCGTAGTATAGAAGTGATTAATTCACGCACTGACCTCGCATTGCTATACATCGTATCTTATTCAAGCTGTATCACTGAGAGTGAGTGATTATCTCCCTTACCCGAACAGCTCAATTGCGCACTACCTTTACAATGTATCGTATGTTATTCAGGCAGCCATCGAGAAACGTTCCAGGAAGGAATTTAGGCCAAGCCTGTCACGCGCACTCAATTTTAACACTGCTTTTGCAACATATTGTTCAACACGATTAAATAACAGGCTTCTATAAAGTATGGCTTTGTTCAATTAACAACACATGTAAAACAACGGGTTTGATATGAGAAATGTTTTATTAGTTGTCTTCATAATCACATGTATGGCGCTTGCTGTGCATAGTTGAGCACCGAGCGAACCGAGATTCAAACAGTCTGTCATAGGTTTCTGGCGTGCCCAAGGGCCTTCGGCGACTGGGCCAACCATGTCCCCGTAAACAACTGTAAGAAACTATTATACAATAAAGATGTTTTAGATGAGATGTGTATTGCGGAACATTCCATGAAGAAACAGTGGCAATATTACACAATCACAAACTACAAAATACATGCACAATAAACGACAATTAAAAAACACAGGAACATTCAACATTCAAAAGAGGTACATTATAACAATTTAATTTCTAAAACAAGTGTATTATAATGATATGGAAACACTATGAGAATTGAGCAAAACTATGGTAATGTTGTACATACATGTACAAGGGATTTGTTTATAATTGTTGATATGTTAACAGATCTTGGAAGTTGTTTCTGGATAACTGTTGGTAAACGTATTAAGAATCTGCTCCTTTTAATAGAGCGTACCAAATTCTTTATCATGATTGGGGATTATTTGTGATTCTCTGTCTTGGTTGTATTATGTAAGACACTGCGTAGGCCTAATGTTGTTCATCTTCTGAGACATCACATGTTTCACAGAGACGTTGTTCAAATGGGGTTGTTTTTTTTGTATATGTACAATTTTTTCAGTTTTTAGTTTGTGATTACTTAAACGAAGTTTTGAGAAAAGTGACCTATGGCCTTTGTTTTTACAATATGTAAGATAATTATCAATATTTATAGATAACGTGACCAAACTGTATGTTCCTAACTTGCTACTAGATGAATGGGAATCCATTAATGATTGCGTGAAATTTTACAATTGAACTGAAGTATATTTAGAGTGGATGCATTACATTTTTTGTGTTTACTATTTTAAAAGTTTGCTTTATTTAACCCAACGAACATTTTGACCAGAAATATTGATACTTGCTGCAAAAGCATGCTTTAGAATGACATTTGTTGTGTTATCTTTATAGGACTTTTTTTATTGGTACTAATAATGGGTATATATCAAGTTTTGCCTGACAGGCCCAGTTTTCTTGCCTGGGTTTTCTTTGTGCAGACCAATTAAAGACACTGTTTTTTTTATTGTGCTTTCCAAAGATAAGTACATTAATAACAACCAATTTGTACTTTACACCAATTCTCTCCTCCCATAGCTTACACTTCCTTCCTCTGCACATAACATTATATGGCGGGGAGCTATTGATGCTCTGCAGCAATCTCTACTTGTCGATAGGGGGACGAGTCTTCTTGCAGGTTACGGAAAGGGGCGAGTGGTGACGAAAGCTTCAAAATGAAACTAAATCAGACACATTGTTGTTTTAAGTTAGATCAAAAAGATGTGTTTTGGTGATTTTTTATTCATTAAGCCTGTAATTGATAATGGAACTCTCTGCGAATGTAAACAAAACAAAAGTCGTATTTAAGTCTGGTGACAGATCATTTAGAAGAGAAAAATGGTTTCACAGGGCAACCTGTAGATGTCGTTACTATTTTATAAACTCTCGGTGTCTGTTCTACTTCCAGATTGTCATGGTCTATGCAAGTTAACAACGCTGCATTACAATCAAGGAATTTTTTTAATTGTCAATTTTCAAAACCTTAAGCAACTTGGAAATGTAAATCGAAAATGTAAAATTAGGCCAATTTTGATGTATGGAGCCAAGGTGTGGGGATTCAGAAATATTGATGCTATTGAAACGATTCATTTTAAACTTGTCAGAACGTTCTCGGCGTTAAGCCTAGCACTCCAAATGTGAATGTGGAAGATGCCCATTGTACACTGACGATCATATAAAGGTTATTGAATACTGGTTAAATGTACAACAGACGCCATGCCAAGACTTCCAAGGGGCGGTCGGGTAGCCTAGTGGTTAAAGCGTTGGCTCATCACGCCGAAGACCCGGGTTCGATTCCCGACATGGGTACAATGTGTGAAGCCCATTTCTGGTGTCCCCCGCCGTGATATTGCTGGAATATTGCTAAAAGCGGCGTAAAACCATACTCACTCACTCAAGACTTCCAAAGGATGCTACAAGATGTTATTACTCTACGATCGTCGGGTAAATCGAACTGGGTTAAACAGTTAATTAATTCATCTGGGTGTGGTTTTGTTCGGACGGAACACTGTAGCGATTTAGTCCGGATTTTACACAGAGTTCCAAAAGTGGTTATCATCTCTACCTTTGTCAAACATTTCAAATAACTCTTCATGTATTAAAACAATTGAAATAGAGAGCACTGTTTGTTTAAAATACATTCAAAGCAATTCCTCACTGAATCAGGAAGACATTGTGGAATCCGAAGAGAAGACTATGTAATTATAATTTTAATTCTAGGGTAGTGTATATAACTTTAACTTGTTTGTTCATGTTATGTTGACATAAGAAACAAATTCATTAAAAATTATTTTTTCAAGGAACTTCACTTGAATATATTTTACTTTCTAATAAAGACTAGAAATAAACCGTCACAATGAAAGATTTGACAATGTTCTTTTTCCAAGCTATGAATCTTAGAAAGCATGCAATTACTTAACTTGATTTGATTTAACAGTCATCATGCCCATTGATATATATATATATACCCCCAACTCATGTGTTTAAATTAAGAAATATAGATTGATTGAATTAATATGTGCTTGTGAATGATATTTGATAGATCTAAAGGGCATTTAGTATACATTAAATGGGTGCAGACTCCTTGTGTTGGTTTTCATTATTGCACTGATTTCGTATCGTTGCCTACAGGTTTTAGGGGTTAATGATCAAATAAACATTCTGGGAATAAGAATTGACTGAAACGCAAATAACAGTAAAGTCAATCCGTACATGCATTGTCAGAGGTAAACATGTAACATGTAGGACACAAGTTCATGACGAGTAAACGTGACCGTATTTTATCAACTTGTCCCACGTGACGTCATAGATCCATGACTCCAGATGCACCATTTGTCTGGTGCAGGATTAGCGTGTCAAGTTTGGAAAACACGTGCAGCTTGTCGGGATAAGAATTAAGACACTATGGTGACACTTGACCGATTGTTTGTTTTGTCATTAAATGGTACACATTGGAAACATCTCTTCTAAACGTACATACTTCTCTATATGTTTCTATGGTTCGCGTTTCTTTTGGCGATGAGTATATATATATACATACTGTATACAGAACTGTTAGTCCCACTCACTCATCCACTCACTCAAGGGTCTACACCGCAACGGTGGCGTCAGTGACGTAGAAGCCGTCGTGGCCCCTCTCGGACCCAATCCGACACAGCCTGACAGCATCAACATCCTCCTCACCAAACACGACATCATGCGCGAATTTGTAAACGTTGGGGTCGAAATGGGTAATCCCGGTCTTGTGAGTGAAAGACTTCGTCACTTTCGCAATTGTCATGTGAGGGCTGTACTCCCTGTCCAACCAATGAATCCCCTGAGCGTCCAGATTTGAAACAATCACTGATCGGAGCACTGATAGCTCACGTACGTACTCCACGTCACCGTATACAACATAGCCGTTAAACGTGCCGACACCTTTCACTCTCAGCGTGGTTTTCGTTCGCATAGATTTGATGTTCTCCGCGGCGCTGTGAAGAGCTTGCATCGCTGTTTGGAGCTGAGCTTGTGTCTGAATGGCGAGGACGCCCAGGGACACGTGTAGGTCATCTCGTGATGAAAACACGCCCTGATATTTTGCATTCTCCTTAACTATTCTCTCCCGAACTCTGTCAAAAGTTTCTTTGATTCCGTCGTCTGTGACACGAATGGCAATGAAGTAGTTAGGTTTGATTGTCCTCCTAGCCATCTTGATTTCTGAAACATGAAACTATATTTATGATTTTTTAAAATGGCGATAGGCATTGCAGTATTAATAACTACTCTGAACTCCTGATCTGTCCCCTTTACCGTCCATTGCAGCCTGTGTCACAGTCCCTTAACAAAATTATTTCCCCTTCCGCCCAGCCCTTTCTGTAACGCACGAGTCACGAGAAATGAATCAAGTCTAGATTTTCCTCAGGTTCTGATCTCCCATCTCACTAGGGCTCCTTTTCAATTAAAATGGAGTTTTTTGTTTCTATCTAAATTATATATTTTCAGCAACTAAGCGTCAGTCTACGTCCATTGATAATCTACGTGTATTTCTACACCTTGAATATCCGGGTTAAATTTGGGCTTCAGCAGCCCGTGTTTGTCCTTAGAGGCGACTAACGGGATCGGGTGGTCTGGCTCGCTGACTTGGTTAATGCATGTCATCGTATCCCAATTGCGTACATCAATGTTCGTGAAGTCAATCACTGGATTTACGGACCGCTATCATATGGCTGACATATTGCTGCGTGTGGCGTTAAACAACAAACAAACAAATACGAGTATGTCTACATTTAGAAGGAGGGGCAATGGAGTAGCCAAGTGGTTATAGCGTTGGCTTGACACAGAAAACCAGGGTTCGAATCCCAACATGGGTACAATGTGTAAAACACCATGCTGGTACCCCACAGTGGTAAGGTAATAAAGGCTCACTTACTCAATATCCAGTCAGTCAACGGCCGTCCGTACAATCCACCGAGTTCTCAACAATCTCATTAAAACCAGAACTTCGTTCTCGCTTCCGCTTTACAAAGATCTGACGACATCACATTGCTATGGAATACTGTAAGGGACATTCTCGCGATCTCGCATTCTCGACCTTTAGAAACGAGCAAAATATGCCCAAAACACGAGAATGCGAGAATATCCCTTACAGTATTCTATACATTAAAGGTCAGGGCAGAACGACCTTTCATCCGACCAACCAGAGCATCGCTTACCAGGTCAGGAAAGTTAAAGTCGTTTTAGTGTCTGATTCCGAAAGCGATACCGAAAGTGATACTGTCCCTGGACTGTAGACGGGTGTCACGTGATACCAGTCTGCCTCTATAGCTATGACAAGCCATGTCATCCCATGTATGTCCTTGTCATAGTTACCCGGATGAGAGGGCAACATTAACTCCATTGTCGTGTCTTTTCCTTCCTTGTGATAATGATGTTCCCGGTCGTGCTGAGGAAGTCGGCGATGTTGATCTCTACACCGTATCACGTTGTTATTAATATTTATGACTTACACAAGAAACGAGCGTCGAGGCCTCGTGACGGATATGGAATATTCATCAGCAGCAGATTCGAGGTTACATAAGACAAATGGGGGCACGGGTGGCCCAGTCGTCTAAGGCGACGCAATTCGCTGCGCAGAATTGCGCCCCTTTGGGCACGACAGGTGTCTATGATTGTGGGTTCAAATAACCAGTTCGATTATGTTTTTAGGTTTGTCAGCACCATAGGTCACCAAGGTGGTAAACGTCTGAGACCTGCATCATTTCAGGCTTTCCTCCCACACTAAGCTGACATGCCGTGGTGTAGCTGGAGTACTGTTAAAAGCGGCGTTAAACCAGACTCACTCACTCACAAGACAAACGAATTAGAAAATACCACTGGTTATGTAGCTCACCTTAATTGTTCTTAAAATATAAATACCGCGAACCTGCGTTAACTCAAAATCCATTATTTCCATATATGGTTTAAAACGATGTAACTGTGAGGTATCTTAAGTCACTATAGTCATATGGTCTTATCCTGATATCCCGAAGTACGGGTATCCCATGTATGTTTGTTGTCGAACGCCGCACTCATCAATAGTCCAGCTATATTACGGCGGTCTGTAAATAATCGAGTCCGGACCAGACAATCCAGTGATTTATATCATGAACATCGATCTCCGCAATCGGGATACGAGAAACCTATGATCGTGGGATCGAATCCCGCTTCGCCCCGATTATGTTTCAAGGTTTTCAGAATCTTACCCGTGCTCGTGCCGATCAGCCGTGCTGTGACATAACTGGAATACTGTTCAAAGCGGCGTTAAACCCAACTCACTGGCTCATTCACACCCGTGGACGATGATAACATTGTCTGCACGATAATGTCGGTGGATCATGTGGATTATGTACAAGTATCCATGGATGCCAGTGATTCACATGGTTCACAAACGTCACAATGAAATTCCAAAGCAATACCTGGAAAACAAATATACGTTACTGCACATGTCACTCGACGTCACAGTGGTGCACGCGCAGATTTTTGGGAAAACTGAGACATTGTTTGTAATTAGAGCCTTGTGTGAAACTAAGACATTGTCTGTGTGAAATTAGAGCCTTGTGTGAAACTGAGACATTGTCTGTGTGTGGTTAGAGCCCTGTGTGAAACTGAGATATTGTCTGTGTGTAATTAGAGCCATGTGTGAAATTGAGACATTGTCTGTGTGTAATTAGAGCCACATGTGAAACTGAGACATTGTCTGTGTGTAATTAGAGCCATGTGTGAAATTGAGACATTGTCTGTGTGTAATTAGAGCCATGTGTGAAATTGAGACATTGTCTGTGTGTAATTAGAGCCATGTGTGAAATTGAGACATTGTCTGTGTGTAATTAGAGCCATGTGTGAAATTGAGACATTGTCTGTGTGTAATTAGAGCCATGTGTGAAATTGAGACATTGTCTGCGTGAAATTAGAGCCATGTGTGAAATTGAGACATTGTCTGTGTGTAATTAGAGCCATGTGTGAAATTGAGACATTGTCTGTGTGTAATTAGAGCCATGTGTGAAATTGAGACATTGTCTGTGTGTAATTAGAGCCATGTGTGAAATTGAGACATTGTCTGTGTGTAATTAGAGCCATGTGTGAAATTGAGACATTGTCTGTGTGTAATTAGAGCCATGTGTGAAATTGAGACATTGTCTGTGTCATTAGAGCCATGTGTGAAATTGAGACATTGTCTGTGTGTAATTAGAGCCATGTGTGAAATTGAGACATTGTCTGTGTGTAATTAGAGCCATGTGTGAAATTGAGACATTGTCTGTGTGTAATTAGAGCCATGTGTGAAATTGAGACATTGTCTACGTGTAATTAGAGCCATGTGTGAAATTGAGACATTGTCTGTGTGTAATTAGAGCCATGTGTGAAATTGAGACATTGTCTGTGTGTAATTAGAGCCATGTGTGAAATTGAGACATTGTCCGTGTGTAATTAGAGCCATGTGTGAAATTGAGACATTGTCTGTGTGTAATTAGAGCCATGTGTGAAATTGAGACATTGTCTGTGTCATTAGAGCCATGTGTGAAATTGAGACATTGTCTGTGTGTAATTAGAGCCATGTGTGAAATTGAGACATTGTCTGTGTGTAATTAGAGCCATGTGTGAAATTGAGACATTGTCTTAGTGTAATTAGAGCCATGTGTGAAATTGAGACATTGTCTGTGTCATTAGAGCCATGTGTGAAATTGAGACATTGTCTGTGTGTCATTAAAGCCATGTGTGAAATTGAGACATTGTCTGTGTGTCATTAGAGCCATGTGTGAAATTGAGACATTGTCTGTGTGTAATTAGAGCCATGTGTGAAATTGAGACATTGTCTACGTGTAATTAGAGCCATGTGTGAAATTGAGACATTGTCTGTGTGTAATTAGAGCCATGTGTGAAATTGAGACATTGTCCGTGTGTAATTAGAGCCATGTGTGAAATTGAGACATTGTCTGTGTGTAATTAGAGCCATGTGTGAAATTGAGACGTTGTCTGTGTGTAATTAGAGCCATGTTTGAAATTGAGACATTGTCTGTGTGTAATTAGAGCCATGTGTGAAATTAAGACATTGTCTGCGTGTAATTAGAGCCATGTGTGAAATTGAGACATTGTCTGCGTGTAATTAGAGCCATGTGTGAAATTGAGACATTGTCTGTGTGTAATTAGAGCCATGTGTGAAATTGAGACATTGTCTGTGTGTCATTAGAGCCATGTGTGAAATTGAGACATTGTCTGTGTGTCATTAGAGCAATGTGTGAAATTGAGACATTGTCTGTGTGTAAATAGAGCCATGTGTGAAATTGAGACATTGTCTACGTGTAATTAGAGCCATGTGTGAAATTGAGACATTGTCTGTGTGTAATTAGAGCCATGTGTGAAATTGAGATATTGTATGCGTGTAATTAGAGCCATGTGTGAAATTGAGACATTGTCTACGTGTAATTAGAGCCATGTGTGAAATTGAGACATTGTCTGTGTGTAATTAGAGCCATGTGTGAAATTGAGATATTGTATGTGTGTAATTAGAGCCATGTGTGAAATTGCGACATTGTCAGCGTGTAATTAGAGCCATGTGTGAAATTGCGACATTGTCTGCGTCTAATTAGAGCCCTGTGTGAAACTGAGACATTGTCTGTGTGAATAGGGTCGTCATTAATTGCCAACATAATATATTCTAAAACAACACACATAACACAAGTTATTGTATTTCACTATACAGTAAACTACTGTTATAACGAACCCAAAGGGGTCAGTAATTTTAGTTCTTTATAAACATGTGTACAGCATATATACAGCAAATGGCCGGGACCCCCAAAAATAAATTCGTTATATTCGTCTGTTCATTATAAGCGTGTTCGTTATAAAGGTAGATTACTGTAGTTACTCTGTCATGGACGGTGGGGGCAACAATGCAGTTTACCGGGCGCAGCCCGAGCTCTACCATCCGCTCAATTACCGCGCTATAGTGCCACCGCTGTCTCGTTATACCGTTACCGTGCCTCACGCTCTGGTGACTCTCGCTTCACGATACAACACCCGTTTTCGGTCTTAGGGAAACTTACACATCTTTACAATCAAACACCCGTTCTCGGTCTTAGGGAAACTTACACATCTTTACGATCAAACACCCGTTCTAGGTCTTAGGGAAACTTATACAACTTTACGATCCAACACCCGTTTTTCGGTCTTAGGGAAACTTACACGTCTTTACGATCCAACACCCGTTTTCGGTCTTAGGGAAACTTACATGTCTTTACGATCCAAAACCCCTTTTCGGTCATTAGGGTCAGCTGGCTTTGGGCAAGGGTTAGCCATAAATTCTTACCTTTTCAAGCGTTAATCCAGTTAATCCCATTGGTCGGTCATGTTGACATAAACAATTGCGGGTGTGGTTTCAAGAAAAGATGAATGGGAGAGCGGGCAGTGACGTCACACGCATGCGCAATTCATTGTCTACTGAATTACGCATGCATGTCAATGGGGATTCTAATGACCTGTTAAACGAGCACCAATTACATGTGATAGCGCCTGTGGTCCAGTGGTAGAGCGTCGGCTAATTAACGCATTGATTAGCAGAGCCGGTGAGCCGGCGAAGCGCGTTCGAGCTCCCCACAGCGGATCTGAAAAAGTGCGCCCGGTAAGGTGCACTACTCCCGTGCACGTGTAGCCACTAGGGCTGGGACGGATAACTCGGGTACCCGGGTCGGCTGGGTACTGAGTAGGATCCGGGTACTAGGACTACCCGGACCCGTGGTTAGTCACGTGACATATTGTTTAATGACAAAAATTATCAAGAATTCTATGGTTACACTACAAGTCACTAATGTTCGCATTTCTTTCTGACTAAGCACCCATTCCTTCTGATTTTTCATATGGTTGAATAAAGATATAACTTAATTCAGCCTCAGTGTATGAATGACCAGATTGTATAACACATGTATCTAAATACGTTTTGTCAGGGCTATGCTAAAAATGTTTCCAATCGGACATTTTGAGACATCACCTGAGACCAACAGTGGGTACCCGGGTAGGGTCGGGTAATAGGGGGGTGGGTACCCGGATAGGGTCGGGTAATAGGGGGGTGGGTACCCGGGTAGTCCCAGTCCTAGTAGCCACTATATTCAGGGTGTCAGAAAAACACAGGTGATCTACAGATAACCCAGGCGCTAATAGCCACACATACTATACTGATAACAGAATTACATCAACACATGGACGGTGTAACAGTCATACAACTCATACCTTACCGTTATACTCGTGGATTGTCTTCAGGTCTGGCTCTCTGGTGAGCGATATGAACTGTTTCACGCCAGTTCGGAGAATATATACACCAGAATCAAACCATTCCAGGAATGTGGTAATACTCAGTCATTGCCTTCTTCGAACCGACCTACCATTATACACAGGGTCCGCGCTGTGATTGAACAAGGGTTTCACCAGAATTAAACCTTTCCAGGAATGAGGTAATAATCAGTCCTTGCCTTCTTCGAACCGACCTACCATTATACACAGGGTCCGCGCTGTGATTGAACACGGTTGTGTCAGGCAGTGCTCTCCTAACACTACACAGATATTTGGCTTACCAACAACACGTTCACACACCTCGCTGGTCTTTCGGGGTATTACAGTATATAGACCGGCCTGATCGCATACAGCAGTGCAGCTGTCTTGACTTGCCAGTCGGGAAACACCTGCTTTGTCAATACTGATGAACGGCAATTTTCTGACACAATGTTAAAATCCAGATTTATGTAGCAGATAACTGTTTTCCCTTCACAAATGAAGTTTACCAGGGTTAGTGTCATTTACCAACAGTAGTGTCATTTACCAGCTGTAGTGTCATTTACCAACTGTAGTGTCATTTACCAGGTGTAGTGTCATTTACCAGGTGTAGTGTCATTTACCAGGTGTAGTGTCTTTTACCAGCTGTAGTGTCATTTACCAGCTGTAGTGTCATTTACCAACTGTAGTGTCATTTACCAACAGTAGTGTCATTTAGCAGCTGTAGTGTCATTTACCAACAGTAGGGTCATTTAGCAGCTGTAGTGTCATTTACCAACTGTAGTGTCATTTACCAGGTGTAGCGTCATTTACCAGCATTAGTATCATTTACCAGGTGTCGTATCATTTATCAACATTAGTATCATTTACCAGCTGTAGTATCATTAACCAACTGTAGTATCATTTACCAACTGTAGTGTCATTTACCAACTGTAGTACCATGTACCAACTGTAGTACCATTTACCAGCTGCAGTTAGTTTCTTTGTTGTTTAACGCCATACTTAGCAAAAGTCCAGCTCTATGATGGCGGTCTGTAATTAATCGAGTCTGGACTAGACAATCCAGTGATTGACATTATGAGCATCGATCCACGCAATTGGGAACGATGACATGCATCAACCTAGTCAGCGAGCCTGACCACCCGATCCCGTTTCTTACAACACTCATAGTCGCCTTATTCGGTTTGATTCCACAGGCGTGGCTTCTGACATTTCACAGCTGTCACATCATGGTTACTGATACAGAAAGTCTGGTTGTAACATCAGGACTACTGATACAGAAAGTCTGGTTGTAACATCACGGTTACTGATACAGAAAGTCGTATTGTAACATCTCGGTTACTGATACAGAAAGTCTGGTTGTCACATCATGGTTACTGATACAGAAAGTCTGGTTGTCACATCACGGTTACTGATACAGAAAGTCTGGATGTAACATCATGGTTACTGATACAGAAAGTCTGGTTGTATCATCACGGTTACTGATACAGAAAGTCTGGTTGTCACATCATGGTTACTGATACAGAAAGTCTGGATGTAACATCATGGTTACTGATACAGAAAGTCTGGTTGTCACATCATGGTTACTGATACAGAAAGTCTGGTTGTAACATCACGGTTACTGATACAGAAAGTCGTATTGTAACATCTCGGTTACTGATACAGAAAGTCTGGTTGTCACATCATGGTTACTGATACAGAAAGTCGTATTGTAACATCTCGGTTACTGATACAGAAAGTCGTATTGTAACATCTCGGTTACTGATACAGAAAGTCTGGTTGTCACATCATGGTTACTGATACAGAAAGTCTGGATGTAACATCATGGTTACTGATACAGAAAGTCTGGTTGTCACATCATGGTTACTGATACAGAAAGTCTGGTTGTAACATCATGGTTACTGATACAGAAAGTCTGGTTGTAACATCATGGTTACTGATACAGAAAGTCTGGTTGTAACATCATGGTTACTGATACAGAAAGTCTGGTTGTAACATCATGGTTACTGATACAGAAAGTCTGGTTGTAACATCAGGACTACTGATACAGAAAGTCTGGTTGTAACATCTCGGTTACTGATACAGAAAGTCTGGTTGTCACATCATGGTTACTGATACAGAAAGTCGTATTGTAACATCTCGGTTACTGATACAGAAAGTCGTATTGTAACATCTCGGTTACTGATACAGAAAGTCGTATTGTAACATCTCAGTTACTGATACAGAAAGTCTGGTTGTAACATCATGGTTACTGATACAGAAAGTCTGGTTGTAACATCAGGACTACTGATACTGAAAGTCTGGTTGTAACATCATGGTTACTGATACAGAAAGTCTGGTTGTAACATCAGGACTACTGATACAGAAAGTCTGGTTGTAACATCATGGTTACTGATACAGAAAGTCTGGTTGTAACATCATGGTTACTGATACAGAAAGTCTGGTTGTAATATCATGGTTACTGATACAGAAAGTCTGGTTGTAACATCAGGACTACTGATACAGAAAGTCTGGTTGTAACATCAGGACTACTGATACAGAAAGTCTGGTTGTAACATCACGGTTACTGATACAGAAAGTCGTATTGTAACATCTCGGTTACTGATACAGAAAGTCTGGTTGTCACATCATGGTTACTGATACAGAAAGTCTGGTTGTCACATCACGGTTACTGATACAGAAAGTCTGGATGTAACATCATGGTTACTGATACAGAAAGTCTGGTTGTAACATCACGGTTACTGATACAGAAAGTCTGGTTGTCACATCATGGTTACTGATACAGAAAGTCTGGATGTAACATCATGGTTACTGATACAGAAAGTCTGGTTGTAACATCACGGTTACTGATACAGAAGGTCTGGTTGTAACATCATGGTTACTGATACAGAAAGTCTGGATGTAACATCATGGTTACTGATACAGAAAGTCTGGTTGTCACATCATGGTTACTGATACAGAAAGTCTGGTTGTAACATCACGGTTACTGATACAGAAAGTCGTATTGTAACATCTCGGTTACTGATACAGAAAGTCTGGTTGTCACATCATGGTTACTGATACAGAAAGTCGTATTGTAACATCTCGGTTACTGATACAGAAAGTCGTATTGTAACATCTCGGTTACTGATACAGAAAGTCGTATTGTAACATCTCAGTTACTGATACAGAAAGTCTGGCTGTAACATCATGGTTACTGATACAGAAAGTCTGGTTGTCACATCACGGTTACTGATACAGAAAGTCTGGATGTAACATCATGGTTACTGATACAGAAAGTCTGGTTGTAACATCACGGTTACTGATACAGAAAGTCTGGTTGTCACATCATGGTTACTGATACAGAAAGTCTGGATGTAACATCATGGTTACTGATACAGAAAGTCTGGTTGTAACATCACGGTTACTGATACAGAAGGTCTGGTTGTAACATCATGGTTACTGATACAGAAAGTCTGGATGTAACATCATGGTTACTGATACAGAAAGTCTGGTTGTCACATCATGGTTACTGATACAGAAAGTCTGGTTGTAACATCACGGTTACTGATACAGAAAGTCGTATTGTAACATCTCGGTTACTGATACAGAAAGTCTGGTTGTCACATCATGGTTACTGATACAGAAAGTCGTATTGTAACATCTCGGTTACTGATACAGAAAGTCGTATTGTAACATCTCGGTTACTGATACAGAAAGTCTGGTTGTCACATCATGGTTACTGATACAGAAAGTCTGGATGAAACATCATGGTTACTGATACAGAAAGTCTGGTTGTCACATCATGGTTACTGATACAGAAAGTCTGGTTGTAACATCATGGTTACTGATACAGAAAGTCTGGATGTAACATCATGGTTACTGATACAGAAAGTCTGGTTGTAACATCATGGTTACTGATACAGAAAGTCTGGTTGTAACATCATGGTTACTGATACAGAAAGTCTGGTTGTAACATCAGGACTACTGATACAGAAAGTCTGGTTGTAACATCTCGGTTACTGATACAGAAAGTCTGGTTGTCACATCATGGTTACTGATACAGAAAGTCGTATTGTAACATCTCGGTTACTGATACAGAAAGTCGTATTGTAACATCTCGGTTACTGATACAGAAAGTCGTATTGTAACATCTCAGTTACTGATACAGAAAGTCTGGCTGTAACATCATGGTTACTGATACAGAAAGTCTGGTTGTAACATCAGGACTACTGATACTGAAAGTCTGGTTGTAACATCATGGTTACTGATACAGAAAGTCTGGTTGTAACATCAGGACTACTGATACAGAAAGTCTGGTTGTAACATCATGGTTACTGATACAGAAAGTCTGGTTGTAACATCATGGTTACTGATACAGAAAGTCTGGTTGTAACATCATGGTTACTGATACAGAAAGTCTGGTTGTAACATCATGGTTACTGATACAGAAAGTCTGGTTGTAACATCATGGTTACTGTTACAGAAAGTCGGATTGTAACATCAGGACTACTGATACAAAAAGTCTGGTTGAGTTAGGCGATACACGTGTAAAACTGTCACGTCCTGAAGGCGATACACACGTGTAAAATGTAGTACAACACCTATATAACACCTACATATAACCATAATACCACACCATCTGTACACAAGCATCTCGATGATCTATAAACTGTTCAACCTTGTTTATGAGTTCAGGGAATTTATGCTGAGAAAGTCGACCGTTCCTGGAAAGAGTTCAATAATCAGTACAGGTCTCTTTCCACCCTGCATTTCCCACAGCACGTGACATGGGGGGGGGGGGGGGGGGGAACTTAGCGCGGGTCACCTGACCCTCACATAGACCCTCTTATCAACAGAAGGGAATGTTATGTTCGGTCGTCCCAACAAACATGCCGGAGTTTGCAGGTACACGCTGTGCGATATTATACACATAATTACTCTTGACGAGGTAATTATGCGTAAACATGGTCCCTTGGACCCTCTGGGCGGGTCCGAGGGTCCTTGTTTTCGCATATTGACCTCGTCAAGGTCGGGTCCGAGGGTCCTTGTTTTCGCATATTGACCACGTCAAGGTCGGGTCCGAGGGTCCTTGTTTGATGCATGTCATCGATCCCAATTGCGTGGATCGATGCTCATAATGTCAATCACTAGATTGTCTAGTCCAGACTCGATTATTTACAGACAGCCGTCACATAGCTTGAACATTGCTGAGTGCGGCGTTAAACAACAAACAAACAGACTCGGTTATTTACAGACCGACGGAAATTGCTGAGTGCAATAACCACCCGATCCTGTTCGTCTACTCTACCAT